AAAGTTTTAAGCCAGTTATTTCTATCTTTTTCTGTAGTGTTTCAGTAGGAAATATCAGTTTACATTTCCAAACATTCCTTTTGACCTTAATTGTAATAATCCGGTGTGATTTTTGTATGCACAAGGAGTCTGACAACAGCCAGTGCTCCACACAGATATCTGATCGCACCATCATCCAGTCCGGCTGGGATTACATGAAAAAACTGAGTCAGACTAAATCCAGATGAACTGTGGCAACGTCTTCAAGACACTTGAAGAAACCTTCCTACGCTTCCTGAAAAACTATGTACAAGTGTACCTTGGACAAAAGCTGTTGTAAACGCAAAGGGTGTTGATTTGATTTAGTTAAAAGAAGTTAATTGATGAATAAAACCTATTTATGACATTATTTTTGAAAGCTTTCTCACTTTACAGCATTTTTACACAAGTGCCCAAAACTTTTCACGGTACTGTAGCTTTGCAGGAAGGTTTCTTGAAGCGTCTTGAAGACGTTGCCACAGTTCATCTGGATTTAGTCTGACTCAGTTTTTTCATGTAATCCCAGCCGGACTGGATGATGGTGCGATCAGATATCTGTGTGGAGCACTGACTGTTATCAGACTCCTTGTGCATACAAAAATCACACCGGATTATTACAATTAATGGAAAAAGGAATGTTTGGAAATGTAAACTGATATTTACTACTGACACACTACAGAAAAAGATAGAAATAACTGGCTTAAAACCATTTTTTTTTGGTGAAAATACTAATGGCCTAAGACATTTGCACAGTACTGTATTCATATATATATATGCTTAATGTAATGAAAAAATATAAAAATAAGTGAAAATATACATTTTGAGTTTGATATTTAAATTTCATGTGTTCATGTATTGAATTTGTTAGACGTTCTTGAAAAAGACACTCTGCATGTCCTCAAGGTGGCAATAACAAATCAGTTGTACATACAGGAAAACGGTGAGTGAGAGTACAGATGCAGCAGCAAAACAAACCTAAAAAAATTGGATATAATACAGGCTAAAGCTTTAAGAGTATGTACTGGAGCATTTCGACATACTCCAAATAATGCCTTAATGATAGCAACAGAAGAATTACCACTAGATATAAGAAGAAACAAAATATCTCTGGCGTATTGGAGTAGATTGGAAAGTATTGCAAACAAGAACATCAAACTAAGAAAATACTTGAAGACTGTTGGGAATATAAAATAAATCCAGGAAGGGGTTTTGGGTGGACAATAAAAGGTGAAGTGGATAAATATAAATTATCGAAAATAGTGTTAGGACCGTCTGTAGCAATAGGAATAATCCCACCATGGTTATTTCCTATGGCAAATGTAGATATAAATTTAAACAAAAATAAAGAAATATATGAAAATAATGCTAAAGTATATATAGAGAAATACATACAATCTAATTATTTTTCATACTTACAGCTGTACAGACGGATCAAAGGTACCAGAATCTGGGGTGACAGGTATAGGAATATTTATTCCACAATTCGAAATAAGCATATTCAAAAGATTACCAATATACAGTAGAATTAGTTGCAATAATGGTTGCATTACAGTGGATAAAAGATGTTAGACCAGATAGAGTAATTATATGTTCAGACTCTATGTCAGCACTAAATAGTTTGGTTTCATATAAATCCACTAGAGAAGACATTTTAAATGATATATGTATGACATTAAAATCTCTAAATAGCATGAGAATAGATGTCAAATTTTGTTGGGTTCCGGCTCACACAGGAATCAATGGAAATGAAATAGCAGATAAGTTAGCAAAAAAGGCAACCAAAAAAAAAAGGATATCGAGATTGAAGTCCCATTAGGAAGAGGAGAAATTAAATCAATTATAAAATCAAATATTCAAAAAGAGTGGCAGAAGAAGTGGGACATAGCTGATACAGGAAGGTTTTATTATAAAATTAATTCATCAGTTAAAGAAGTATACAATTTTGGAAGATGTAGGAAAGATGAGGTGATTTTAAATAGATTACAATTTGGGCACACAGGACTAAATGCATCACTATACAAAATAGGTAAACATATTACAGGTAAATGTGCTTTTTGTGGGGTAATTGAAACCATTGAACATGTAATATTAAAATGTCGGAAATATAATATAGAGAGAATTAAAATGATAAAGAACTTTAATGGTAATAATAAAGAAAAAAGATCAATTGGATATTAGGAAAAGGATTAAGAGAAGGTATTAATCAAAGAATAGTAATGGAATATATAGTAGAAACAGGATTAAATAAACGAATTTGATAGTTAAATAAATAAATAAAGCAAAGGAATAGGGGAACACACAAGCTGGGTTTTTTGGCGTGGGAGCTGAACACGCAGCAGCCAGAAATACAGCTTGGGTGAGCCCGAAATAAAATGAACAATTACAAAATTAATAAATAAATAAAATATGAATAGAGGCGGGCCTAACATCAATAAATAAAGCAAAGGAATAGGGGAACACACAAGCTGGGTTTTTTGGCATGGGAGCTGAACACGCAGCAGCCAGAAATACAGCTTGGGTGAGCCCAAAATAAAATTAACAATTAAAAAATAAATAAACGAATAAATAAAATATGAATAGAGGCGGGACTATCATCCATGTATGATTAGAAACAGTTGGTGGCGGTATGTGCCCATGGTGTGGAATACGCCAAGAAATTCCAAAGAAGAAGAAGAAGAGAGTACGGATGACTGGAGCGCACCATGGCAACAAGTTCAGCTGAAAACTTTAACTATCAGCCTTTCAAAAGTAAGTGTTTTGTTTCTTAAATATTTATGGTGAATTCTTCTTATGGCTGCCTCAAATAAAAAGACAACAGAGTGTTAGTTTTGACATGAGTTTTCATGTTTCGACGTTTTGTAGTGGTTTATTTAAAGTAAAATACTTCGCAGTTAGCGACAGGCACACTAAAATGCGTCCAACAATATCAGATAGTCATCATACCCCAAAATGAGATACTGTATATGTTATGGATATTATTTAAATTCATTTTCTGGCTGTAGACTGCAATAATTTGAACCCGTTTGTTATACTCTTTCCTTACCATCAGTATTGTAAGATGCTTTAAGATGGAAATTTGTAGCCCATCCCATCACAAGAGGGCACTTAAAGGGTCATGAAACCACCCGTTTCAGCACTGGTTAGTTCTCGCCACAGTTTTAAAAAATGCTATTAAAAAAAGTGGGCGTGGTGCGGAGGGGAGGAGGGCGAAGAGGGGAGACAGACAACACACACAGCTTAGCGTTAAGACAGTTTCATTTCGCTCCCATCGAGTTAAAAACACAAATAAATGCGCAGCCATTTGCACTCTGCATCGAAAACATATATATGAACTTGGTTGCACCTCTGAGAACTTTTAAGGCGTATTCTGTGGCGTTTATATAAGCCTTTTGACGGGTTGTGTCACAGAGCTGTAAAAACGGTTATGCTCACCAAGTGAATGAATCGCGTTTGTGCCGAACTCTTATTACAAAGCAAAAACAAACACTCTTCTTCGATCCATGAACGTTTCTCTCAGTTATTGTGCGCGATGTCATCTCACAGACTCTGAAACGTCTGTCATAGTGTAACGAGTCAGAAGCGTTTGGATCCATTTGCAGCTTTATTTAGAATAGTCAGAGAATACAGGGTCAAATACCGGCAAGACAGAGACAGAGTCAAATACCAGGCGAGAGATCGGGGCTGGCAGCAAGCAAACACAGTCCAGGTGAAACAATCCAAGATCGGGGCAGGCCGAGAACAATCAGAAAACACAGGAGACAGTCCAAGATCAAACACAAGAAAGCAAACACGGGTATAACGCTCAGAGATGACAGCCAGGGCAAATCAAGACTTTGCAGAGAGTCTGTGTGTGTGAGTGGCTTATATGTGTGTGTGTAAATGAGGTGCAGGTGTGGATGGGCAATCAGTCCCAGGTATGAGGGGTGATGGGAATTGGAGTCCGAATGGAAATGGTTAATATTCAGGAGACGGTTCCCTCTGGTGGTGCGGAGGAGGCGGTACGGGAGCCTCCTCTGTAACACATAGCATATCAACACATGCTGTTGTGAATAATTAAGCGAAGCATCTTCTCATAGGATAAGAACACGCAGTTTCATGAATAATTTAATAGACACCCACGCGTCATTGATGTACTATAGTCCATTACCACGTCACAAATTGTGACGTCAACACAATGTAGATTTTAAACCCGGAAAATGAAAATAGAGCAAAAAAACTTAAAATTAACCAGTTTTCTCCAACAGTTAAAATTATCGGATGCTAACATTGTCTTCTATGATGTGCAGCACAAACACCTCTGCTAAAATCTCAGAAAAAGTAGTCTGGGGTTTTCACACATACTGGTAAAAAATGTATAGCCTGGATGACTTTAGTAAGTCGCTTTGGATAAAAGCGTCTGCTAAATGAAGTGAAGTGAAGTGACATGTGGCCAAGTATGGTTACCCATACTAGGAATTAGTGCTTCAGGTTCCAGCGAGATCAGTTAAATGCATAAATTATTATTATTATTATTATTATTATGACCTTGTAAGACCATCTTGTAAGTGATGGGGCCTAATTTGTTTGTATTTGTGTGTTTATCTGGTTTAGAGATTAGATACACAACTCTCCTTTTGCTGATGGTTTGTTGTGCATCAGGAGTAACTGGAAACCAAATCGTCCAAGAGGATCATTTAGGCAAACATAATCATGAACATAATGCAAATATGTTCCTTGGCTCTGAGGTATCAACACTATGGTTCTTAATAACAGTTATTTATCCCGTTTCATTCTACCAACTAACTTATCACTGTTTTTCAGGACAAAGATGAAATACAGAAACTCAGCCCATCTGAGCAGCGAAAGCGACTGGTAGAGATAGTGAAGAAGATTGACACCAACTCTGATAAATACCTTACTCCAGGTCAGTTCTGATTTGATTAACTGCTATATTATCATGTACACATGAGATGTGTCTAAACTACCATTAAGAAGTTTAGGGTCAGTAAGATTGTTTTAATGTTTTTGAAAAAATTCTCTAATGCTCACCAAGGCTGCATTTATTTGATCAAAAATACTGTAAAAACAGCAATATTGGGAAATTAGTTACATAGTAAAATGACTGTTTTCTATTTTAATATGTTTTAAACTGTAATTTATTCCTATGATGGCAAAGCTGAATTTTCAACATCATTACTCCAGTCTTCAGTGCCGCATGATCCTTCAGAAATCATTCTAATCTGCTGATTTGCTGCTCATTTGCTGAAACATTTCTTATTATTATCAATGTTGAAAACAGTTGTGCTGCTTATGTTTGTGGAAACCATGATGCATTTTTCCAAGATTCTTTGATGAATATAAACTAAAAAGAACATTTTATTTGAAATATAAATATTTTGTAACATTGTAAACGTCTTTACTGTCACTTTTGATCAATTTAATGCGTCCTTGCTAAATAAAAGTATTAATTTCTTTAAAAAATATCATACTGACCCCAAACTTTTGAACTGTAGTCAGTGTTACAATTAAAAAAACATTCTCTGTTGCTTCTAGAGGAAATCACATTATGGATACAGAGGGTGTACAGGAGATATGCGCTGGATGATGCTGAGGAACGCTTCCCTGAGTTTGACTCCAACAGTGATGGTCTGGTATCTTGGGACGAATACAATATGGTCTTGCATGGTCATACTGTGGAAGTTGATGTAGATGCTGTTCTTGAAGACCCCGAGGAGGAGTCTCTCATATTTGTATGTTGCATAATTTATTATTAACATTTCATATTGTGGAACAACAAAGAAAGGTCTTGCGTGATTGAAAAAAAAATGGTTTTATCCACTCACAGCTCCATGCAAAGGAAAAAAGACGTTTTGACTTTGCCGATATGGATGGCTCAGCTGGCCTGAACTTAACTGAGTTCCTTGCATTTACTCATCCGTCTGAGGTGGATCACATGGCTGTAAGTATAAAATGAAGCTGCAATAAATCATAAATATAATTAGAGATTAAACATTCGTGTTAGCTATGTGCTTTGTGGTTCTAGGATTTTGCCATTGAAGACGTGCTTTCTGAATATGACTTGGATAAAGATGGATTCATCAGCTTGAGTGAATTCATTGGAGATCTCAGAGCGAATGGTATACGTTGGGATTATTAACAATATATTTTGTCAATACACTAGTGATTATTAAAAAAAGTCCAACAACCAATTAATGGCTGAAATTACATTTCTACACTATATTGTCTGAATAATTTTAATTTTACACTGCAAAAAATGGCTTATCTTACTTAGTATGTTTGTCTTGTTTCTAGTCAAAATAATCAAAAATTCTTAAATCAAGATACTTTAGCTAGATAAACCAATTGACTTAAGATATTTAGTCTTGTTTCTAGGGGGAAAAAAACTAAATTAAGTGCATTTTGCTTAAAACAAGTAAAATTATCTGCCAGTGGGGTAAGTAAAATGTCTTTACATTTATTTTGAAAGATGAAGCTCGCGATTATGGTAAGAGGCGTTACATTTCCTACGAGTGCTTGCGGTGTTCGGCCAATCACAATGCACTGGGTCAGCTGGCCAATCAGAGCAGACTGCGCTTGTCGGAAGGAGGGACTTTGTAGAAAACGAAGCGTTTGAGAGAGGCGGGGCATAGAGGACCTACAATAATGTACAGTATTTGAAAAATAATGTGTTTTTTGAACATTAAAGCATGTCAACATATTCTGTTACACCAAATACACAAAATAATGATCTTTAAAAAAGCAACATATGACCCCTTTAATTTATTTTTTTCCCCCTGGAAACAAGACTAAATATCTTAAGTCAATTGGGTCAATTGGCAAAAGTATCTTGATTTAAGAATTTGTAGATATTTTGACTAGAAACAATACAAAAATACTAAAAATACTAAGCCATTTTTTGCAGTGTAAATACTACAATTGGCATCATAACATTTTAATGTACAGTATGAAAAATGAATGTTCATGTTGAGATTTGCTAAACGTTACATTTAACCGTTTTATTAAATTATTAGCATTTTTGTAGAATTTAATAGGGAAAATAAATATAAACAATTAAATATTGACCAATACTGTTCAGTGTTGGGAAGGTTACTTTGGAAATGTAATAGGTTACAGATTACAAGTTACCCTATTTTAAATGTAATAAGTAGTGTAACTATTTCAATTACTTTATTAAAGTAATGTAACTGATTACATTTGATTACGTTTTGATTACTTTTCTAAATTTCTAATGAATGTTTTCAACTGATAATCATTTAAATCAGGCAGGGTTAACCTTACAGTAGTACTCTGATTACTGTCTTCATCACTTGAATTAAGATTATAATCATTTAATTTTAAAGCACAGCCACCACAAAATCAGACTTTAGCAGCTCTTTTTTATTTGAGGTCAAAAATCATAACAAGATATAGTTTAATAGCAATGATACCATTTTTTAAATCAAATCTTTGCATAGCTATGACAGGAAACACAGGCATCTAATAATGCCTTGGGAAAAAAACAGTTAATCTTAAAAAATAAAGAATATCCATAAACCCAAATAGGAAATGAAACCGTTATCAAATAAGCAGGTGTCCTATTCTGTGTCCTAAACTCCTGAAACATTGGTGTTTGATAATTTAGAGCAGTCAATGCAATTTGGGAAAGAAATCAATCAAATCTGTATGTGTGGGAAAATATTCAGATGAAACCCCCTTTGTAATCGTTAACATTTTCATAAGTAACTGTAATTTAATAACACATTTCTTCTCAGTGACTGTAACTGATTACATTTATTTTGTAATTAAATTATGTAATTCCGTTACTTGTAATTAGTTACTCCCCAACACTGATACTGTTACATTCAAAAATCTCTAATAGCAGGCGATAACCAAAATGGTACCAATATATTGTGCATCCTCATATCAATCACATACTTACTTTACCATTCAGTTTGGCTATACAGATTTATGGGAGATGTTAGAATCTAGATATTTTCCAGAAGTGGGGTAAATTATTATCAGAAACATATATGTTTGCTTGTCTGTGTTTAAGAGCAGGAAGAGCCCTCGCAGTGGGAGGCTGAGGAAACGGTGCGCTTTAAAGATCTCTATGACCAGGATAAGGATGGTAAACTCAACAGGGATGAACAGCTCCGCTGGGTCGCTCCCAACAGCTATAGCTCAGCACGAGAAGAAGTCAGTCAATGTGCCATTCATCCTCTAATGTATTTTTTACATCTTTAACAAGTTGTTCTAAATATTGTTTTTTCTTGAATGTTGAACAGGCTTTTCATCTAATCAAGGAAATGGACCAAGATGGTGATGGAACGCTCTCGGAGACGGAGATTTTAAAAAACCAAGACACTTTCATGAACAGTGAAGTGACCGATTACGGCAGACAGCTTCATGTGCCACATGATGAATTGTAATAGTTGGAAACTTTTAAAAATAGTTCTTATGTTGCCACAAAGAAAGACTACTTGAGTTTTTACAAATTAATTTTTATTAGATAACATGTAATTGGTACACTAATATTACACAGCCCTGCATCAAAAAATATTAGCATAAAAATAATGTAATGATGCTGAGTTCAAAAATATCAATAAAAACTTTCCATCATGTAGTTTTTTTTCATAAAATAACTATATATATATATATATATATATATATATATTCAGTTTTAATGCACATATCAAAATAACATAAGCAGTCAAATGTCGAAAGTTTTGACAAAATGTAATCAAAATGTATAATTTAACTTACAGTCTGCAAAGGAGTGTAAAAATATGTTCAAATACTCCATTTAACATCAAAGAACTTTACATAATGCAAGTTTATAGATAAATAAGCTTTTTTTCCAATCTGTAATTTTACGCCGCTCATTTGGATGTAGTAAAACTCAAACTCTTCTTTCACTGGCCATAATTCCAACCTTGAAATAACGATTAGGCATAAAAATGTCTTCATAAATGTGAAAATCAGCTGAGAATTTAACAAATCGTTGTAACCTGGCTCAGAGGCAGAAAGGAATCATGTATTGGTGGCAGTTTCTCTTGTGATTAAAGGGTGTTGCTAAAAAGAACATTATTTTGCGTATTTGGTGTAATGAAATGTGTTTATGCAGTTTAAGGTTCAAAAAACACTATATATATATATTCAGTTTTAATGCACATATCAAAATAACATAAGCAGTCAAATGTCGAAAGTTTTGACAAAATGTAATCAAAATGTATAATTTAACTTACAGTCTGCAAAGGAGTGTAAAAATATGTTCAAATACTCCATTTAACATCAAAAAACTTTACATAATGCAAGTTTATAGATAAATAAGCTTTTTTTCCAATCTGTAATTTTACGCCGCTCATTTGGATGTAGTAAAACTCAAACTCTTCTTTCACTGGCCATAATTCCAACCTTGAAATAACGATTAGGCATAAAAATGTCTTCATAAATGTGAAAATCAGCTGAGAATTTAACAAATCGTTGTAACCTGGCTCAGAGGCAGAAAGGAATCATGTATTGGTGGCAGTTTCTCTTGTGATTAAAGGGTGTTGCTAAAAAGAACATTATTTTGCGTATTTGGTGTAATGAAATGTGTTTATGCAGTTTAAGGTTCAAAAATAAGGATTATAATGACTTATACTGGTCTTTTAAGCGTTGCATCGCGCCGCGTAAACATAAAACCATGTCTGCATTTGTGATCGGAGAAACGACAAACAACAAGTGCTACTCTACACTGCTCAAAACTCACGTTTGAATCGTCAGTGGCAAATCCTTTAAATATGCAAACGTACTTACAGTCTGTGAGTCACAGCCGGCATTGTAGTCTACTCTCCCAGGATCAGGAAACAGTCCTCCATAAAATGTGCTGCACACATCTGAATA